GGTCGAAGTTAGATAGGATTTCGTGACGTGTTGACACTAAATAACATCGACCGAAACCAGTGTTCCCCGGAAAGACCATAAGCCGCGTCGTTCAATGCAATACAGCTGAGCCTATTACACAGTTAACATTTTTTTAGTGATATAAACTGGAAACGACAATATTGACCGTTTTAAAACTCAAACTAACTCAAATATAACATCCTCGCTGCAATCGATCAAGTGAGCGGAAGGCGAGGGGATCATTTCAGTCATGCATTTGGTAAGACTCCGCTGACCTATCGATGACTCATACGGTCTACGTCGATATTAGGGACTTTAAGATCCGAGACGCGACGGCCGTAAGACGCGACAGGAAGTAAATTTTCAAAGAAGAGACATGTTGCGCACGCTCAGGGCGTTGTCCTGGTGTCACCACGTCGCGTCGAGAACGTGGGTTTTGCGAGTTTGACGTTCTGTACAAAACGTGAGTATATTTGTTCCTGTGCTTAAATTAAATGATGATATATTCCTCTAAACATGTAAAATGAGCCTTCTAGGATCATTGGACGTAATTTCTGGCGACATTTCAGATGGCAGACATGGAAGGATTTTGATTATTTTTAAATTTCTTTCAGGTGTACGAAGCTTATAAAATGGCTGCTCCTTCGACTTCGAGCAAGACTTGCAAGTAAGTCACGAGCTAAAACTGCAAATAGTGAATGCAGGAGTCTTCTGCATACTCTTCTTCTCGTCTCTTGTACCGTTGCAATTCTCGATTTATTGCGTTCATCTGCCGCTAAAAGCCAATTTTGAGCCTGTATTATTTAATTTAATTTTATTAAACTGCGTGTGTTTTTATGCTTCCCTTTAGTTCAGTAATGTTTTGGACACAAATTTCAATGTAAATCCCTACACAACTAAGAAAGGGTCAACACAAAGAAGCAGTATGCGGGAAAAAATAGCAGACACCTTGAACAAATGCACTGTGCCGAAATTCAGGGTTGATAAGCGATCAGTCCGACACCACGTGGGAATCCTTGTTTACAAGCATAAGAAGAAACTTTATTTATGGCGGGCGGACGCTAATTTTTTAGCTCCTCGTATTTTGATTATTTCGCTCTTTTCCTTGCCTATTTCATCGATTTGTCAGTATTTTTGTTTTTCCTGTGCACTAAAATTATGCCAGAAACACGTAATTCTAAGACATCCGGCGGCTCACCAAGCGCTGACAACAATCCCTCGAATGAATTTGTAACGACGGCGATGTTGAATGAGATGCTTCAGCTTCAAGAAAGGATGTTTAAAACCCTTGTAGATTCGCTTGTGAGCAATTTCAATTCTCGACTAGATACAGTGGTTGGAACTGTGGCTGAACTTAAGACTCGCCTAAACATATGCCAGAAGGACACAAAAGAATTCAAACAAAGTCTTGAATTCTCTCAGAAAGATATCGACGAGATAAAGCCGTGTAAAACCAAACTTGCTGAGATAGAGGATGACATCGAGGACATCTACGACTCTATCGACTACCATATGGACAAATTAGAATATTTGAAGAATCAGAGTAGAAGAAACAACATCAGAATTGATGGGATCTTAGAAGAAGAAAACGAATCGTGGGACACTACAGAGGAAAAAGTCAAACAAGTTCTAGCGGAGAAGCTCAACCTTGAAGAAGCGCTCCACATCGAACGTGCTCATCGTGTCGGTAGGGTTGCTTCTGGCCCTAGAAGACGCCCTCGCACAATTGTGTGCAAACTTCGAGACTTTAAGCAAAAGGAGCAAATATTGAAGGTGACAAGAAGAATTAAACCTGTCGGTTTATACGTAAATGAAGATCTTGCTAAGGAGACCCTTGATAAGCGACTTGGCTAAACGATTCTGCTCATTCGGTCGATATTAATGGTTTCAAATTTCTTCACAAGTATAGGCAAAATAGAACAGGAGGTGGGGTAGGGCTTTATATTCAAACGATCTAGAGTTCAAGCTTCGAGAAGATTTGTCCCTCCATAATGTTGATACTGTAGAATCACTGTTCATTGAATTAATAAGACCTCGAGAAAAAAATATAATTGTTGGTACTGTTTACAGACCGCCAAATCATGGACTCGACGATTTCTTGTCTACAAACAATGAGTTGTTAGGTAATATCTCTAGAGAAAACAAAATATGCTTCCTAATGGGGGACTTTAATATTAATTTAATTAACTACCAAAATCATCACCTCACAGGCCAATTCCTAGATGGAATGTACTCTAATATGTTTTTCCTTTGATTACGCGTGCCTCGAGAATTACTTCACATACTGCTACGTTAATAGATAATATTTTTGCCAACAACTTTTTTGAACGTTCGAGAAGCGGCTTATTATTTACTGACATTTAAGATCATCTACCCGTCTTCTCAATTCATTCAGATAACGTTAACACGTCGGTAAATCGATGTCGGCAAGACCCCTTCTTTATTATGGATAAGAATCCGAATAATATTCCTATTTTTGTTGAAAAACTAAAAGTTGTTG